ACTATGAATATTACATTAAATTTATGCCAATAGATCCTCCTAAATGTTACACACTGGACCTTTAAGCTGTCCTCTTTGGTTAGTGATTCATCATACAGGAATTTAATCTGATAGCTTATATAACACGCATGCAGCCACTTTAAAGAGTTTTAAAGGGAGCTTGCTCTAATAAGACTTGCCATTCGTGTACAAGAAAGCTCAGGCATGAAGCTATTAAAGGGGATGTATTTGAGAAAAAAGCCTTTGCTGCTTTGGTTTCTCTTTGCAGATAATGAGTCATTTTTGCATTGTTTGATCCAAAAGTCTTATATGCCGCCACCCTGCTCTGGTTGTCCAGCACCCAAAGTAATAAACAGGGTTCCCCTGTCTTCATGTTACACCAGCAATCAGTCCTCCTCAGCATCAAGTCAAAAGTAACAGGTGAAGCAGACTGCATTCAGAACTGAGCTGTGAAAAGGGAGCACAGGTCAGACAGCCTCACCTCTGGATTCAGATGATGGCAGTGGAGCATGGTCTTCTTCAGTCAGCCATGACCTGAATAATTTACTGTAATCAACATCTTTAGCTGTGAGCGCTGTGCTCGCACATCATTTCAGATACTCACAGTCTTACAGGAGGAATATTTGCTATTATGCTTCAAGCTGTTGTGTAAGAAATTCACAAATTAAACATGCATCTGATGAGCTAATTGCTGATTAAACACTTTACCAATGATTATTTTTTGTTTCTGTGTGAATCTGGGTGTTTGATGAACTGATTGCACTGCATTTTGAGGGGGTCTCTATTGTGTTTTATCTGCTGAACATGCAGCACAGATGCCCCTGCGACTGGAGGAAGCATCCACAGTACATTTTGCTTCCCTTAATGACTTTGTCCAGTATTAGCGACGCAGCCTTTAAAAATGTGCGCCCTCGGGTATTCATCTATATTCCTTGTGTTTAAAAACGTATTTTAAACTCTTGATGACATGATAATCAAAGAATTACATGGAATCCCTCTATCCATAGCCACACATATAGTATCTCACTGTTCTGGTGATAATTTACAACACTATGATGTTAACCTGGTTCTGCTATATCAGTTTGTATTTCGAGGGGAGAAAAAAAAGACGATAATGACAGATAACTTTACATTTTCTGAGCATCCTCTGGCAGGAAAATCTAACTGTTGAGAAATGATTCTGAAAATAGAAACCAAACGTACATTTGTTTGTGCAGATCAGCATCATCTCTCCAACACCCCGTGGCACACAGACTGATTATCAAGTTTTTCACTTTTTAAATCGACTTTCTCGGCGATGGTTCGCACTTTTTTTTATCATACAAACTGATTTTGCCAAATGAGCGAGATTGGAGACATGGCGGTTGTTGTGTACTGCAACGCCTGTTTAGTAGTTTGTCAGCAGCCTCGCACATGTGGAGGGTTGTGCAGCAAGTAGACATGGCTGTAGCTACATATGTAGTGGTCAACAAAAAGGAGGTTTAAAAATGTGCAAACCATACAGTGAACAATTGTCAGTAATAAACAATATTGCCAAATAATGACAATTTACGCACTCAATTATTCCTTCATCGCCTTCATTGTTCGGTTTTTGATCACACAAATGACAACACTTTAAGGATGCAAACTACAAAGATTTTGTCAACATAATAAAAAAAAACCGTGAGGTGAACTCTAAATAAACTCACCAGCTCGCAGAAGTTAACAAAAAATGCGCCTTCAATGCACGAATGAGTCGAGACAAAAACACACGGGCAGCCTACACACACACACACACACACACACCTCTTACCTGTGCAGGGTTCCTCAGTTTCCAGCGCTGCCGTGCGATGAATGGACCGTGTAAACCCAACGCATATCCTTCTGCAGCCGTTTTCCAACCCGGTGCGGCTGCGGACTACAGCGGAGCAGCGTGAATGGGTGAAGGAGGCAATAACAGAGTCGCAGCTTGAAGTTTGAACCGCGTGCAGCTGAGCCGCGCGCCAGCAGCTGTCCGAGGTGCTGAACAAAAAAAAAACCACACACAACTCCCCCCCACCCCACCCTACCCCCAGACGAGCCGGATTCCTGGAGGTCTGATCCTGCTGACAGCGGCTCAGAAGTCACAATCTCCCCTTAAAACACGCTTAAAACAAACGCAACGGACGCCCACTTCATTGTGCTGATGGAAACAATGCGTTTCACTTTCTTCAGCATCAACTGTGAAGAAATGTCAGAAATTTAAATGCGAATCTATAATAAAAAACGTTTGTGAGTCTGGATAATCTGCTTTAGCGCCCGAGAAATTCGGCAATAGGACACAAAGTTTAAAATTCTACCTGTTACTCGAGCGAGAAATGCAGGATCTTAAGCAGCGGGCAACAATATTTCTCAAAGAATCTGATCTTTGCTGCAGACGAGACCCCAAACCCGGGAGAGCCTCAACTCTCACAAGGTTTGGACACTTGAACTAAGGCGCAGTGGCTCCCGCGCACGAACAGTCCTGGAGATAGTCTGTCTCATCGCAACTATGCCACATTAACATTACGTAATATGAAGCGTGATGGAAACGATCTCTTTTCAGCCGCTTTGTTCTGGTAAGCTGCTGGATGTGGATACCGATGGGGAAGAAGGTTTAAGAGTCGCCCCCTATTTGTTCAAGCGGTCAAGAGGGGGGTGGGTTAGTGAGGTGTTGGGGTTGGTTGGGGGGGGCAGTATATAAAAATAACGATTCTTTGGAGACTACTTATCTTAAGCGGTGGAAAATTTTTATTTGGGATCCGCAAACAAGTTGTGACACGGCACGAGTGTGAGGTCAGTCCCAGATGGCACCGTGAGGCGCGCAGGGAACATGCGCTCTGAGAGGGTGAGCTGCGACCCTCTCCTCTCTCCTGCCAAAAAGCAGCTTCAGACACGCAATGGTCGGCATCTAAATTTGTTTGTTGAGACATCTCACCCCCTATCTCTCTCTCTCCACGTGCAGTGTAATGAGATTAATAATTAACATCATGGGAAGGCAATAATCTGCGTGCCCCGAAAGCTGCATGACACCCCTGTGGGTTTCACAATTAATTAAATCAGTTGTTGACCCAGTGTGTCATCGCAGTCTCTTCCAGAATGATTTTCATTTTTGCCTTTGGACAAAGGTTGCGGTGCCAGGATTAAAACTGAAAGTGCAACAGACGTGGTGAGGGCATCTGTCCCTGCAGACTGATCACACCTCTGTAGGCAGTATAGCTACTAATCTCATAATCACTAAACAAAATCTTGTCCACAGACTGTTAGGTGATATATTTAAAAACTCATCTCTCCCATGGTGTGAGAATGAACAACCTGGGCAATATGTTATGTAAATCAAATGGGCAACATGAGAGATGATGCTCCATTTCTACGTAATATGCAGGAGCAGAACAATATACAGATATAGGTAACAAATTAAAAGGTCAAACCAACATCAAGTCTTAATAAATTTAAGAGAAGAGATTCAGTGCTCCCTGGCTTAGATTCTCCAAGTCTCTGCAGGAGGGATGAACATCATTCTTCCAAAGACTGGCATTTGGTGTTTTCATAGTGGACACATCGCTCTAAAACCTCCCCTACTGGTTCAGCTGGGTTGATATCTGGTGAACTTGAAGACTGAACATGTGATTCAATTATGAATTATTTGTCTTTCCACTCATTTATTCAGGCTTTTCCTTCGATTTGTCTCCCAGCTTCAGTCTTTCTATCTGGCTTAATGGATTGTTATTTTTTGCACCTTGAGTCTACAATAGGCAGACTTCTGACACATCGATATTAATATTTGAGAAATGAAAATAATTAGATATAGTAGTGATATATTGGTCAATATTTTATACATAAACAAATCCCCAAAACCGCAGCTCTTTTGGTGTGTTCCCGGTCTGCAGTGGTCAGTACCTATCAGGAGGTGGTCCAAGGAAGGAAAAGCAGTGAACCGGAGACAGGGTCATGGGGGGGC